ACATTAAAAAATATTGGTTCTTACTAAGCAATTATACAATTTCGTACGAAAATTAATGATTAAAGTAAAGCTGGTTGCTCATTTATTGTTTCAGTGAATTTCTCAAGTATTCAAAATACATTTATTTCTTCGATCCCACAATTAAATCTTTGCAACCGTTTTCTGGGGCTTTTTACTGCTCAATGTCGATTGGCGATTTAACTTATACTACTAATATCTATTATAAGTCCAGATTAACTCACAGTGTACCTTCACCGTTGGTATAACTATAAATTCAAACTTCCAAACTACCTAATATTATAAATGCGAAAGTAACTATGTCTGTCTGTCTGTCTTTTTTGACGCCTAAACTACTGAACCGATTTGTGTGTTTGGTACGGACATAGTTTGGAACCCCAGAAAGGACATAGGATAGTCCCGAAAATCCCGGGAGATCGGGAACTATGTGGGTAAAACCAAAAATCTGGAAGATGTCACTATTCCACGCGAACGAAGTTGCGGGGAAAAGGTAGTAAGTACTATACAATTAAAACCACATTGAATAAAACTAAAACATTAAAAAACTATTCACATCAGATCGTTCGTGCTTTAATTAATTCAAACTTGACGCATTCCTTCATCCTACGCATGAAGTTATTTTCAAATCTTCGAGTAACTTGAAATAAGCGCAACAAAACTGATCAAAAGCATTTATTTATCGGCGCTATTCGAATCATCTAACAGTCGTAGTGAAATGCACTTGCTATGCTTTTAAATTATACTTCATAAGAGCACAGAGCTTTCCTTGTAGGTACATTTTATAAATACTCGGCCTCTCTCATGTTAATTTTAGGCCGATAGAAACTTTTTGGTTTGGATTAAGTGTTTTGAAACGCATACTGGCTGGAAATAATGAGTATTTTTTTAAGTTATATTTTGTCTTTTTAATTCCTCACTTCTGTAAGTCACTGGTGACCTAACATGGCGGGTAACTTGTTAATTAGGTACCTATCTATCTATTGCTCAAAGCCGCATCATAAAGCGTTCAGAAGTTTTTGAGTACATTCCGAGCTCAGACCATACAGATCTGTGTTTTGTTAAACGTTAGGTAGGTATTATTATATTATAAACAATAGCAATTCAAACAATTACCTACCTTTTAAAAGATCACTATATCAAAGAGCTAAGTTATCGTTCGAATGTTTATTCAGCGGCTTTTCTTTGTGTGCGTTTGCGTTCGTGTTGCATTACAAGTGGGTGTCACATCGCACCGTGTAGGCCAAGGTTCTTATTTGAATCTACGTTCAATAATGAACAGAAATATGTATATTAGACTTTTGTCATGTGAGGTAGGTTCGATGTTGGGAGTATAATGACATAATGGGTGTTAATATCTCTCTCTTAATTTGGTTGGATGTGCCGAAATTTGTGCTCAGTAGGTGATTCTTCTTTGTCTTTTAGATTGCAATTGCGATTGTTTCGATACATCTTTAGTATGTTTGAAGAATAAGAGTAGTGAAATCGTTTTCATCATCATTATTGTCAAATTGATCACAAGATTTCCTGACATAGGCTTCTTCCAATAGCCGGCTGAAAGCAATGCGCATGAAATGGCCTGTCTGTGATCTCCTCTGCCCCCATCGAATTTATAAAAAACTATGTATTAAGAAATGAAATAATAAAGTAACTAAATTCCATCTCTCTCTTTCTCTGTCTGTCTCTCTCAAGTTGTCTTTACCATTTAAACAACGTCATCAGATCCCATTTTTTTTAATATGGATACTCCCAAGCATGACGCCAATCAGTCACATGATCATACCTATGACGAAAATGAAGATTTCAATTTGAAAGTACCTATAGATGATTTAAAACTTGACTCATATACAATAATGATTAGACGTCACAGTCAAATGAAATGAAATCACAATTCATCACACAGAAGACAAAACATTTGTTCATAAAATCTGTTTTTATAATATAAGGCAATTTATACAACATCATTCTCAAAGACAGCCATATGTTTTAAGACTATAATGTACAGACGGTGCAGAATATTCAGTCACAAGTCCAAATTATTTAATAGATTTTCGATTTTATCACGAAAACAATAAAGATGGAAATGTTTTAAACTTTTAAAGTAATGGGTCAAACTTTGATGTGATTTGTACAGCCACACGTGATTCTCTGACTAATCGTAATACAAACAAAAGAACTGATCATACATTTACCTAGAGAGTTTCAGTTTTACGTAAATAGATTCTTACTGTAATACCCTAAATATCTTGTACTACTTAAGATCAAATTAAACGCCGGATATACGGAACACGAAATTGACAGTCGTTCCTGTTATGACGGTGTCCTAAAAGCGTTGGGTAAACGGGTAAACAATGGCGTATAATGCGAAGTTGCGTGGTTAGAGCAAGCAGTGCATTTTACATACAGCTTCACACATTAGTCATCGAGTTATGAATGGCTGAAAGGGAAGGCGCGGGGACGAGGAGTTACTAAATATAGCGAACCAGTAACAGGTGGCCGTTCCTCACCCTTTCCACATCCACCTACGCGGCATATGGCCAACACTCATTGTGCACGAATTAAGAACGAGAAAATCTAATGCTTCTCAAAGAACTATCAATGAAACATGCTCCATTTCTTCCTGTCTAGTTCGAAAAATATCGACCAGATTTTCCCAACGTAACGCAGAGTGATTCATAGGGTTAGATCTAAAATATTAACTAATTATTGAGAGCAATTTTATCACGAAGCTAAGCCAAATTACTTATGAAATCCCCGTAAGAAGATCTACATAAAACTTGCAGAATATTCGCTATTCATTTGTACTCTGTTGTTAGTATAATTTTTAACTATTAAATGCGTCAAAAAGCATTTTAGTAAAACTTAGTCCCGATTCTGCTCTGAAGGCTGTTATTACTTGAGCGGATATCTCGTAAAATCTTTAGTAGTACCTTGGAATGTAGGTCTCAACTTGTGTGTTATATTGTGAAGCTGTTTCCAAGCAAGCCACGTTCTTTGATGACGACGTGATGATGTATTTGACTTGATAAGGATCTGCGAGCGAGCTTTTGTTTTAGATTTACATATTTCTGCATTACTTGAGACGCTCAGCTATGTGACAGATGTTATAGACATGTCATAGAATCTTAATATGCTGTACCAACAGAAGAGAAATTATACTTTTTTTTCCTATAAAATGCTATAAAAATTTTCATGAACCAAATATCTTCAGAAGTAGTATTTGAACTAATATAAAATCAAAACCTACACTTTTCACTTAGTTTTTGATCAAAACGATTTACTTAGTCTGTATTTATATTTACACATTTCTGGGTCGCAAGAATATGCAGCGATGTGTTAGATGTTCGTGACAGACTTGTCGTACAGTCGTGTACTATAAATGACGTTTCTTGATACCAATTAACATTTTTATTGATCTGTTCCTCTGATCTTTGCATGCCTCATTTTCTATCTCGTTTACGGATATCCGAAGTTCTCCCAGTGTCGATTGATCTGCGATTATCGTTGGCGGTCCTCAAGCGTTGAGGAAACGGAAAGGGATGTTACAGTTTTAATTTTAGAACTATGTAAGTATGTTCACGACGAACTTTTTAAACGGATTATACGAAACTCTTTGGTGTTTGTTGATATGAAAGAGTTCGTTTCCTATTATTGAGTGGCTGATTGTAAGCAACTTTGTTAAACATTTTGGAGGATGTTTGAAGGGGTGGCCGGTAGCGTATCCTGTTGACCAATGATCAGTACTACAACTACTATTATCTGCAGTAATATAGGATGTAGTAATAAAAAATATAACAGATTCTGAGTACTTCTAAATTTTGAGCGAAAAAAATGTTCCCAGATTTATCTTGACACATAATTCAACATTAAAGTTCTTCCTCATCTCTTAATTTTTGTTGAAGTTTATACTGTAGCAAGCTGTGGATACAGAAAAAAGGTGCTAATTAAATTCTCTGGACTCGTTCCATCGGTTCGCTATCAAATCGCAATATAGTTGGGCGTCGAACTTATTATAGCTCGGCTTATAATGAAATCGTACAGAGCGAGTTTTCTCGGAAGAGGCGCGGGCGTCTGGCTGGAACAGTTAGTGCGCGTCAAATGCAACCAACTGCGCTTGCGCACCCACACATGCACGAGCTTCATTCAATAACAGAGCTTTTGTACTGCTTTTACTAGGCTACAATATATGTGGCTAACCTTAAAATAAGAAATTAACCCGAAGAGTCTCAGTACATATAATCAATTGTAATATGTTGAAATGAAAGCAAAACTATAAATCAAACTTATCTGCGTGTAACTTCTTTGATTCAGAAGTTAAACAAAAAGATTATTAACCACAATCCAAAAATAGCTCTCGTCCTCCGCATACTGTTACGGATAAATTATTCTACCGATGTTAATTAAAGTGAAACAAGTCTGGGTGAAATCTAAACCTATCATCAATCATAATTTGCCTCGCACAACTTGTTGGCCGGTGTATCCGCGGCGACCCTGAACACGACACTATATTTAGACGCAGCCCTTTAATGCGACACACATAGGGTTACCGCTTCAAGAAAGATGCAACGGCTAACCATTCAGATTCCGGAACATTCCTCGAGGTCTCACTTTGATGATAGCCTGGCACGAAAAGAAATGAGGACGTTCATCCCTAATTTGCCAGGTGCTGCTCTCTATGGCGACAGTAATTGGCCAGATTATCGACTGTCCAGTAACCCTAACCAAAAAACAATAAGTCACGCGATGTTTACAGTTGGCCTAAGGCGAAGCGACGCTCGTCCACCGGCCCGGTCGGAACGTTTTACTCCACGCATTCGCGCATGTGAACAATATTACCAAGAAAACCATTCAAAACATTTTATACATTCCGTATTTATGTAAATTTGTTAAATATTTCTTCGAATATACTGAATATCAATGAACATAGCAAAATGGAGGCAAAGAATACAAATTTTCTATTGAAAAAAAGGTATATATTTTAACCACAGAAGTGGCACAAAGACGTTAATAGTTGTTGTTTTGTATTCTGATCGATGTGGCTGAAGGAAGACATTTATTTCTTGGGGATGTCTATTTTCTGCGTAGGGTCTTTATAGTCCAGTTGTTCGTCGGCGGTATGTGGCCAAAAAGTTGGGTTCTTTACAGGCTGCAAGGCTATCTCTGGATATATATCGTGCACGTCTTCCATTGTCATATCATCGAATTTAGGAAGAGCGTTAATTGCAGCAATTTCTTTCTCTGCTCTGTAAAATGTTAAATAAGCCTTTTTACAAAGAGTGTGCATGTTTTCTAACAAATATTTTCTTACCTCAAGCAACGTCTAAACTGGTACACTTCAAAAAATAAACTTAACATTTAAAACTAACTTAGCAATATGCGCCTTCATTTCTTCACTGTACTTCGCTATATCTTGCTCCAACGTCTTCCACTGTTTGTCCACCTCAACTGAGAACTTGTCTTCAGGATATGGTACCTTGAAAGATGTGTATTGCGACTTGAACTTCTCCACGAGTCCTGGTATTGGTATGAGTTTCTGATATTCATCCCAGTTTATTTTAGGGGGTTCCGGAGGCGATAATTTCATGCTGGGAATAAAACAATATGGGCAATAATTAGTAATTGCAGTTGGCATTCAAATTCGGGTATTTCAGCAATAAACTGAATATTTCCTGTACTCGGAACCTCGTCTTTATATAATTTAATAAATAATGTTATCCACATTATTTCGATGGCCAAAAATACGATTTTGGAAAAATAAAGACAAGTTTTACAATTTTGTTACCGACGAAAGTAAGCTTCCGATTTGGCTTTAAAAGCAAAAAACTTATTTATCTGCTCCGGCGGCACCCGTTTCTCTAGCTCCGCCCACTTTACAGCACTTTTCGTTATTTTCGACATATTAATTGTAAGATCAAGTTTAAGCTTTCTTTAATTAATAGAGAAAATAATTTTAATTTCCCATCACTTATCATTGTTAATATTGCCAACGAATTGACAGCTTACATGTAGGCCATAGAGTAAAGTAATAATACTAAAATGGATGTAGGCGATAGGTTACGTTTTTTTCTCATTATACAAAGGAGGTTAGTTATAATGTAATAAATAAATGTTAAGGTAATAAGGACACAGGAAAGAGATATGTTTTAATCAAAATTGCCATAGGTACCAGAAAATAAATACTAACGAATGTTAAGTGAAAGCAGGTTAAGTAATTTAATGTTTCCTTTCAAAATGGTTGAACATTATATACATATATGCATTCTGATGAAGTCGTTTGAAAAATGGGTTAGTTGGTGGTTAGAATTTAAAAAATTATTCCTAAAAACTAAAGCTAAAATAAAATGTAGATTTACAATGATATATAGTAAGGGCGATTTCGTTCAATAGGTAGATCGAATCAAATTACCTGATTAGTCAATCACGCGATTGAAGAGAGTTAGCCAGATTCTTATTTTAATTTTGTGCCTGCAGCCTTTTGTCCTAAGTCGGAGATCATCATATTATTATTGAGAAAGAAGTAGTAGTATCGAAGAATATGAACAAAAGACTGATTTTTTAAGAAAATTGTTACGAAAATCTTGAATGTGCATAATATATTTCATTTATTCTCAATATTTGGACAGCTACTTGGTACCAGATGAACTGGAATTCAGAACGTAATTAGTATTAACTATTTGACACATAAGTTTATGGGGTTTTATTACTTTATTGTGAAAGTGGTGAAGCAGACCCTGAATGCAAGCGCAATAATGTGGTGACCGCGACTCTGTGGAACTACACTAGTCCGTTTGATGGCGAGATGTGATTTTTAAAATAGTCCTGCATCAACCGGGGATTATCCTTGGGTGCTTTACTTTTATAGTGCATACAGGAATAATTACCAGCTGATGTCCCATCACATTTATAATAAAACTGTTCAACGGGCCTCTGCGAGTTGGCTTCGGCTCCTCGTACGCCTTCCAATGGTCCGGGGTCCTGTGGTTCCGTGAATGGAAGGAACTTCAACTAATAATTACAAAAACAAAATATTAAATTGAAATAAAATAAAATATCGAATTCCATTCCCGGAGCTGGTCGCTTGAAAGTTTCAGTAAGTAATGAGGTTGGTATTGTCCCCGGTTTATTTACCTACATGGTCTAATCTATATGATTCATAACATGACTGTTTATTAAAATTGAGTTTTAGATAACATTTTTCTTTTTTTTTTTGTTCGGACAAGCTACGTCTGTTTACTACATAACCTGACTAATCCCTGCACTGATCTCTAAGCTAAGGCCCCCAGCCAGCAGCTAAGGTCCCCAGCCAGTACTTATAATGTGCACATCTACCTAATAAATACTTCGTGCTTCGTACCTCATTTCATCGATCGAACATATAATTATTGAAGTGTGATTCTGATTACACTCGTTAGAGTCACAAAGAAGGTACCTATAGTGTGTACCTATCTTTAGTACATATTATGTGCTATTTGTGTTGTTACGTACTGATAATTTTATCTGTCCGTGATTAGATAGGAGAACATTGTCATTTCGGACGGTCATACGATATTCGCAGAGTTTGTTAGTAGTTTTTGACTTATTCATGGTGCTTCGTAATACTTCAATTCAAGTTTTCCGGTACAAATTGATTAATATTTATTAGATTTTGTGTTATTTTGTGAAGAAAGTGGTCCAATAAGAGTCTCTTTTTGAGGTTTTGTTACATTTAAACTGTTACTGTGTTGTGTTCGAGTGTTTTCCTTGTAAGGAAAATTGTTAATCTTGATTGGTACGTTTTAGTTTATGACTTCATATTTAATAATAGAATGTTGGAATATGTGCTTTACTTTAGGCGCTATTTGGTCCTATTTTCTTTTTTTAATTCTTGATCATATAGGTACATACTTCTTTTATACAAATAGAGAGAGAAGGTATTTGCACTTAGCCAAGTATACCTATTATTAATTCCTCTGATAAAGGGAAGCTAAATACTGCGCATTATTTTGAATTCAGCTTTGGAATTTTTAGGTATTAAACCTTGTATAAGTTGTTAGATCAAATCAACGAAATAGTCCAACCATATTTAGGGCTGATTTTTTCAATGGTTAGATAAAAGTTACCTGGGAAATAAAATTATTGCTGTCACTGTCTTATAAGTACCAACACTCTGACGCGACAGCATCATAATTATTCCCCAGATAACTTGTAGTTAACTATCGAAAAATCAGCCCTTAAACTAAGAAACATCAGAAGAACTAAAAGTAAAACTTCGTAAATCACAAATCTATCAGTAGAAGTCCCTTCAAGAAAACATTCCACCCCATTCCAGTTGATAAATTAACTTCGAACATCAAACAATTGAGTGTGCATCCTCTTCAATCAGCTCAACGTAATTTTGGTGACTTGAGGGAGCATTTAGAGCTGGAGGGCTATCCATCACCCTTCCTACCCTTGTATTCAAATGAACAAATCGACACGCCGGTTCAATTACACGACAATAATGTCGTACGGTGTCAGATCCTGCCGTATCCGGCGGATATTAGCCGTAACGGCGACGTACCGGCTTCAGACGGGCCGATTTCTGACGACACATTTACTATTATAAAATGTTCGGGCGATTCAAAGAACCCGGTTGTCGAACTAAAAATAATTTGAGCTTTTTTGGAGTGTTTGTACTTAATCGGTTTTTTATTTTTTGTTTTTAAGTTTAAATAAACGTGTTTTATTTGGACGTGTTTCTAATGTTTGTATCATTCATTTCACAGTTTTATGTCTTTTACTATAACGTTGAAATAATGCCTTTATATTAATTGTAACGTATAGATAGTTGCTAATTACAACAATATCAAACAGTGATAACATTAATATTTTCTATCTAAAACCCTAGTGTAATATGACATACAGTCCATTTTTAAACAAAACTCCAGTTTTATCCAATTCAGTTCGATAAAGAACCGTTTTTATTCCCTATAACTAGCCATACAACTTTATAAAAACTACGAGATCCCTGGACCCCTTCGATAAATAACACAAAAAACAAAAGACGGATAGAGCCAGCCGCGATATGAGGAACTGGTTGGTCACCGTACAGGCTTCGAGTAATTTGAAGGATACTCTATTTCTGTCAGTTTAGTACCGTGTGAGTGGGATAAAAGATGTTGATGATACTTGAATATTGGCGATAGTAATGTTGCTTGCGGTCAGAAGAAGCCTTATAATGGACATGATGGTTCTTGCATCAACTCGACTGGGAGCCATAAAAATAAATGTTTATGGAGAACGGTAGCGGGACGCATACTATTTTGTAGGCAAATAACATTAGTTTTTGTTGTATCGATCTTTGGATTGCTTTTGTTGATTTATTTGATAGTAGATGTTGATATTTCTTAGGTATACATTTACGATTTATTTTAGGAAATATGGAGTGATAGCTTTTTCAGTATTACGAATGGTTAATGATTCAGAGTAATTGTGAGATTGCGTATTATTCAGTCAATTTGCTATGTGTAATGTAAGTATGCGTTGTCAACTAAAATAAGATAACGTTGTTAGAAGCTACGTGACTGTCAGACAGCTACCAAGCAGCTACCTTTCAATACTACATAGTATTTTAAATTATCCTAAAATCCTTTAATAATTATTGAATTTATTGTAACGAATTATTTGCGAGAATTAACCGAGAAAAGCTCTATTCGTTTAAGTCACTACGGGACTCTTATTAATAAGCAGCAGCGTGTGGTCAGAGAGGTCGCGCAACCGAATTGAAATTAAGTATGTCTGACAACAATTACTTCAAAATGTATTCTTAAAATAGTTATTTTATGGTTATATCCATAGATAATCAAATATACATACATATATCCCATTATCACGGAACCGAACAGGGTTTGCAAAAGTATTGGAATTGGTCAGTTATCAATTTGAGGCCGTCCTCTTGTAATGCTTACCTTATGTATTTTTCACTTTATAATAGCAATCAGCATCATCATCACCAATAACCGTATGAGTCCATATTTGTCTTATAGGTATCCACGACAAAAGAGGCGTTTTCCATTATTATCCAATATCTATCCATTATAATCATGCGGATCGGTGTTGGTAATATCTTGTATGTATTGTATAAAACTATAAAGTTTTATCTTTTTTTCCAGTCCCAGCACTATGAAGCTGGAATGGGCCGAGAGCGAGTCGGACTATGGTCTGGAGGAAGCCGCGTTTTACGAAGGGCCGCCCGTTGTAGCGCCGCCCCCCACCAAACATGTCTCCTTCAGCCTGCGACTTGACCTGGTGAGTACAATTAAACAATATTAGAAACAACGTCCTTCTTAAAAGGCCGGTGCCGCGCCTGTGACTCTTCTGGTGCTGCAGGTGTCCATGGACGGCGCCAATCACTTACCATCAGGTGATCCGTCTGCTCGTTTGCCTCCTATTCCATAAAAAAACAAAAAGCAGTGCACGATATTAACCACAACCACATAGATACTATTAGTAGATTTTCCAGGGGTAAAATTGACCCCTCATATTCGCTTTAAAGTATTATTAAAATTTACAAATCTTTGTGATTTTCCAAACAATTGAGCATCCCAATCTAAATAGTTACGGGTCTTTCACTTAATAAATCTTCATGTAAAGAAATGAACCTTATGCCAAACACAGACGAAACTATTTCAGAGAATTTTGAAAAACTCGATACAGATAAGTAGGTAATACAATTTAAACAAAATATTCTTTGATGTTGTTTAGTTCTAAGAACGAAATTGAATTTGCCTTAAGAGAATTCACATCAAACAACGAAATGCCTATAAATAATAATTGATGCGTTTCGTTCATAACAACATATGTTTCGGGTTAGAGTACGTTTAGTTTCGGCCTTGTTACAAAAATCTGATGTCAAAAGTTCACAAACCTTCAATGTCAAACGACAATAAAAATGTTAAAAATTTGCATCATTCATTTTATCTTGTGATTAAGGTAAAGGTCTTACTTAAAATCGCAGTCCTGTATATTCCTACGATATTTGTAAGATTTGATATTATTTAGGACTTAGAAACTAAATATAGATACAAATACTAGCGGGCGGTACCCACTCCCTGATAAACTTGAATTTATCTCAACTTGATACTACAGCCTATCAATTGTAGACAATTATTTATAGGATCGAAGAGGTTATATATGTAGTATTTATAGAAAATTCTCTAATGTAGAGGAGGCCAGAACCAGTTAAGTGATATTTCATGGGCTTTTATGTCTATAATTGGGTAGTTTCCTTTCAAAAATAAATTAATTCGACGTTTCATTAGGTACAATAAAATATTAAAAAATAACTATACTTTTATTCATCGAGCGAACGATACACTAAGTTTTCGATATATTGTAGCTAATTATTAAGAAATCAAATAAGTTAGCTATTTGACGCAAAAATACAATGACGTCATAACTCAGTTTTTCATACAAATTTCATAGAAAAGTATCGTTTTTGACATTTGGATAAAAGTGATTGATTTTGACTAGGTAGAAACTACCGTATTTAAGAGAAGCGTTCCTTATGTCGTGAAAAATAGGCAAATAGCACATTGTACTGATCTATATGGTAAACAGATAATAAGTACATGTAAAAATCTATTGTTTAGACGTCTACCTAGTTATTCTGCGTTAGTTAAAGAGTGTTTACGTGGCTCAGGTTTATATACAAACTTTCAAGTCAAAACTGTGTGGAAACTTCTGTACGAATTTTAATGTAACGTGGAATACTTATATATTACAGAGACGATGAAAGAAAATCTTACAAGTAGATGTAATATTACGCCTAAAAATTCTGCAGTTGAAACAAAGGTAGGAATACCTAAAGAAGAATTTAATGACATTCAAAATATTGGGTACTTGTAATCCTTTTCCATATTATAAATCCAAAATTGTGTCTGTCTCTTTTTATGAAAACATGTTTTAGTTTCGGACTGAAAAATTACTATAGACTTCATGTTTATTTCACGTCCATTTCCATGGACAACATAAAAATATTAATAGATAAGTATACAATATAATTCTGAATATAAATAAGCAAGCATGTGAATCGTCTGATCAACACGAAGTGACGAGGGACGGTCACTCAGCAAACTTGGCACCACAATAATTATCACTTACAAACTTCCGAACACACACACAACTAAATACATCAAGATAATAGAAAGTATGAAAGGTGATAGTAAGTATTTATCTATGATCCCTAGCTGATTAAGAAATGAGAGGAAATCCGAATGGACTTGAAAAAGCAGTATCGTTTATGCTAAGTGTTTAGTTTTCTTTAGAAAACTGGCCGCGGCAAGTCTCGACTTGGCACTGGCCCATATACCGAAGCGGTGTCGTTACAAATGTTTACAAACTCGATGTCATACTGTTTCACTTAATTAGAATTGCTAGAAAAACTGTTAATAGTAATTACTGACAACGTGTAATTTAGAAAGTGACAAACAAATCATTCTTTGCCGGAGCATGTGTTCCTCGAAGGGCATGACCTGGGTGTCATTAAGGTCTTAGTGAATAGGATGCTTATGCGGCGTGCTCCATCGTAAGTCGCATCATCGCTTATTACCAGGCTGGATGGCGAATGAATGGCTGCCCATTACGAATTAAAAAAAAAACAGTTGATACTGAAACATTATTTACCTGTTGCCCAAGTAGTGTTGAACTTTTTACAGTTGCTTTTTTGAATGAGGTTCTCGAAAGTCCAGATCGGCATTTCAAAACCATAAAATATACCGAAACGCAATAACAAAGAACCTTATGAACCCCATACATTACGCTTGTTTAGCTATAATTTGAATACAACTCATCAATATTAACAGTGCAAGAATATTAATTTAATCTAGAACATTCCTTTTGACGTTACATGGGCTGTCTTTACACATTTTTAGCATCCAAATCTTAAGTAAACGGTCATCGACACTATTCAATTTTAAATTAAAATTCTTACATTTGACTATCAAAGTGGTTTATTAAGGAAATAGTAAATAAAATATGTGCAAGATAAACAAGCGTACAACTGTATTTATTGGTGTTTTTTCATAAGTTTATGTGCACACATTAATTACACCGGTGTTTCGGATGTACCATTTTAGAGTGCTTCTTGAATTTACAGGTAATCATTGCCTCTAACTGGGGGAATACCTAAATCATTAAAGATTAAGACGACACCCGCTCTGTTTTAGGGAGAGAGGGAGTGTCAGACTCTTACTGACTAAAAACAACTCGGTTCCTTTTCCTTTTCTAAGCCTGGCACAGTACATCATTGGATTTGCATTCGCAACGTAATTGCGTTTTATACCTCCTCTCTCCCAAGCCACTTGACGATGTTCCCCCATAACCAATAAGACAGGTATTCTTACCTTGACATTGCATCAAATAAAAACTAGATGATACGTACTCGGAATTATAATTATTACCTAAGCTTTATATTGTCTTTCACTGAGGAAAATACAATAGTGCCCTATGGGGCTGATTTTTCAATGGTTAGAGAAAAGTTACTTGGGCTATAATTATGATGATGTCGCGTCAGAATGTTTGTAAAAGACAGTGACAACAACAATTTTATTCCTTAGATAACATTTATGTGACTATTGTAACATCAGCCCCTAGAGAATTATTTGAAAAATTTGTGCCGTATTTCTACATGTTCCAAACCAAATTCCTTGTTAATCTTCCAAAGACTTCAGAAATCACCTTAATAAATTATTCTTTGACCGACCCTACAACTTGAGGCCTCGTACTTGACATTCAGGTTTTCATTAACGAAAAATGATTCATAATTTTTCAGCAAACGTCTGCGTTTACCTATCACATAAACTTTAAGGAAGTAACTTTTCAAAGGGTGAAATAACACGTAGTATTTTCGTCTCTATTCCTTTTAATTTACGTTCATTTTCCATTTTCATTCCAAGCTTGGTATTTCTTACTACACAATTCAAAAGTCAACTAAAGCTTGTTATTTACAATGTTTCCTAGTCTTCCTTTTCTTGTAAATTGTAATGAATGTCTATGCATACAGGTTTTCGTACGAGTTTCCGATCAACACTATAATCAGCACAAGTCTCAACTGAATGGACAGGTTTTAGTTTCAAACTGAAACAGTAGCGTTTTTATAATAATTAAATAGTTAGTAGTATAAATTAGTTGGGCGTACAAACCGGTGTAGAAGACCTTGAGTACATAACGTGTGTTATTAAGAAAGTTGCGTAGGTATGTGCGTTTTACGCAGGTTTCCGTTTGCATTTTTGGGAAATGGATTTCGTTTTGATTGGTTGTTTATGAGTAATTTTAGTTCCCTATTAGACGAAGGATTGAAACAGAGTTTACCTCTTAATAATATTGATGCCTTAAGCTTTTTAGTAATGATAAATAGTGACTGTGGTCGCACATAGATTGACGCTAAAGTGAGTTAACGCTTACCGGCGGCCCGCTTTGGCGCCCAGAAGAAGACGGAATGGGATTCTTTTCAATCAATAAGAATCTGAGATTCCCTCTAGACTCTTCACGACGGGAGAAGTAATGCTGTGATTTTTCGGTAAAAAAAAATATACCAAAAATTCTTAAGTGAGACTGACTAGTGACATATCAATTTGAGAGGATTTCAAAGACCAATCCACGCACTGTAAACAATCAACTGTCTCTGTCATTTTAATTACTTATTTAAAGAATTAATTTCTTAACTTATTCCGTTGAACAGTCCTGACTACTCCAGTGTCACGTTGTCGAGGGTGCAGTACGGTGTCGCCTTTATATCCCCGGATGCGTCGCTCCAGCCCACTAGACCGTGAACTCCCTGATCAACTTGCACTGTCATTTATTTTTAATAGGATATTGTTCCTGCATTTACTTTCACTACACATTTGATACTATTTTTTTAAACGTAGCGCCCTCCCGTTCCTTCATTTTTTAAGGTATAAGTCGGCAAACGAGGTTACGGATTACCTGATGGTAAGCAATCGGCGCCGCTTATGGACAACCGCAACCTCAAAGGAGTTACGATTGCGTTGCCTTTTGGGAATAAGGGTTGAGGTGGAGCAAGCTTGATGATTAATGCTCAAACCTACTCTAGGTAAGAAGAGGCATTGGGTCAACAGCAATGTGTGATGTTAGGTGCTTAGTTGGATTGCCAATATAGAGTCTTATAAAAAACTTTGATAGGTACTTAATACAATTCTTAACAGTTAGACAGTTTTATAACTTGTGATGATAACTAATCGCCTACATCTTTGCCAGATACGAATACCAAGGATACACACATAGACATT